TAGACGGATAGTTCTGCTATGAGACCATAGGGAAGACATAATCGACAATTAGAGAACGATGGAAGATAGGAACCAACCACTCTTGGAGCATGAAAATGGTCCGAAGATCGAGATATATCGACAGCTGACCCTGATAAAAAAAAAAAAAACGAGGGGGGGGGGGGGGAAAGAGAGAGGGGAAAAGAGGAGACATTCGGAGTATAAAAATCCTCATGTCAAGTAACCAGTGGTAGTATACAAATAATATAGTATAAGCAAATCAAACTTTATACCAATAATAGCAAAGCTATTGCCCTGCAATGAAATGGATCTACCCAGAGGAAACTCAGGGAAGAGTCTTCCAATCAAGGAGGGCACATAGACACTCCCCGGCACCAACGATAACAATAACCCATCAGTAACATATCAAATAGTAGTAATGCAAAAAAAAAAAAAAAAAAAAAAGAAAAGAGAAAATAACCGAACCCTCTGATAATGTAAACAGCGAATGGATGCGAGGCAACCCCAAGGTCACCCCCCGATTCCCCCTCCAATCCTCCCACAACATCTTAACAGCGGTGGCCAATGTTTCTAAGGTACCACTGAGAGGCCACCACCTATCCAGAGATTACATAAGAAAACCCACAAAAAGACATGTTAACTCAAGGCATCTTCCCGGGTGATTTCCGTGACCCCATCTTCTTAGCATTTGGAGCAGTCCACAAAGGTGAAAGCGGCGGCGGTCGAGGAGCCAATCCCTGGGGAGTGGGATGTAGGACTACGGGGGATAATGTCCAGTTGAAGTAACAATTCCTCGCCATCCTGGAATGTAGAGAACCCATAAGGCTTTCCATTAAAACTTAATTGTAGGCGAAAAGGGTAGGCCCAACGATACCGGATATCCTTCTGCACTAAGTGGGAAAGTAGTGGCTTAAGAGATCGCCATTTCTGGATGGTAGTTCGAGAGACATCAGCAAAAATTTGTATCTTATGTCCCGCAAACTCCAGGTCCGGAGTCTCCCTACTATACTTCATGACCGCTTCCTTGACATGAAAAAAGTGAGGCTTCACGATGATATCCCTAGGAGGCCCACTTTGTATAGGGGGGATCAATGCTCTATGGATGCGATCAATTTCAGTATGAAGATCATCAATATCGGGTAGTGCAGACCGCATAAGGGTTTGTGCGCAGCTAGTGAGCTCTTTGACTGATTCAGGGAGTCCTTGAATGCGGAAATTGTAGTGCCTAGCCTGATTTTCCAAATCATCAATTTTAGAGTAAGCTTCCTCCAAACGATCTTGCAAGTCGGTAATCATATTAGAATTTTGGGATACTCTATGGATTGTCGCATCAACTTTAGATTCGATACTATCCAGGTGTTTGGCCCAATTCCTAAAGATCCTGTTTAAGGTCAGCCGCCAATTTTGAAGTAGCTCTATTCAGTTCGCGTTGCAGTAAATCAGCAAACCGAGCTATTAAGGTTGCATCACCTGAGTATTGTGGTGGATCTGGAAGGATTGCTGGCGAGTGAGCAGGGCTGTCATCTTCAGGGTCTGGGCCGCTATTCTGGCTGGAGAAGATGGCCGCAATCTCACTACTCAGTGGTGAGGAGGCAGGGGAATCGTGGCCTAGTGAGCAGGACAAAGCCTGGGACTCGGGTTGTGTGGGGCTAGAAGGTGACTTGGGAGGCCGCACAGATTTACTCACACCAGTAGATGAAGCTGCAGTGGTCTGGTCCTGGCCAGTGAGAGAGGTAGAGCCTGGCTTCACCCTCTGAGGGAGAGGTGCTGCTTTATTGCCAGCAGCAGAGGAGGTGACAGGGGCCACAGACACCAAGCCAGGCGCCATCTTGGGTCCCTTTCTCCCAACAGGGACCGATATCTGGGAGCCTCCGTGGCTTCTCCCCGCCATCCGACCCGGAGTGATTCAGGGGCCCCGGGGTCGGTCGAGGTGCGGGGAGAGTCCCGGGAGCAGCGGTGGATCGGTGCCCGTATATGGGCTACTATTGGTGCCGGGGGGATGTGGAGTTAGTGTCGGGATATACGATCCGGCCGGCCGTGCATGCGCCCCCCAGTGAGGTCAATTTTAATCAGCAGCACTGATCTTTGAGAAAAAAAATTAAAGGCTGGTTGTACAGAAGTTGATCAGTAGGTCAACTTCTGTACAACCAGCCTTCCCATGCATAAATTGAAATTTGGCCGCTCCCTGCTGAATGCTCCTGTGTTTAGGGGAGCTAAATTCAGATTGTACCAGTGCTGTGAAAACTGCACTAGGCAAGGTTTTATACTGTACCTGGTTTTCTTGTTCTCCTAATCAGTTCTTCGTGGCTCTTGTTTGTTGGCCTGTAGACATTTGGTTTCTAACTTCCTTAAACCAAAACAAGTCTAATTGGGAGACCTGTCATCTAATGTCTATGGGCACCTTATTCTTCTTTTAAATTATCTTGATGGCTTTAGATACTGCAGATTGGCATTGTATACTGTTATTTAGTCTATGACAGTCTTTCTCAACCTTTTTAACATGGTGGAACCCTTGAAATAACTTTTCAGGTTCAGGGAACCCCTGCTAATAATTACTATAAAAGCAGCTCACAGTACATTAGTGTGATGCTCACTAAGAAGAATGTATCATTGGAAGAATCCCCACTTACAGATTAAAAAAATGATCATTGGTGTCGGTGACTACTCATCTGAGAGGCAAAAGTTGCTAATTTCTCAAGAAACCCCTAGCAACCTCTGGAGGAACCCTGGACTTCCACAGAGGCTTAGTTGAGAAAGGCTGGTCTATGATCTACAAGGACGCCTAATATTTATTGGCCCAGTTTTACACTCCTTTGATTTTATGTTGCATGCTTGTTTTTTGTTTACATGGAGAAGAATAGAAACAATTGAAAAAAAACAGATATATGTGTAGACCTATTCATATGCCATTTATTTTTGTGTAGGCATCTGTTTTTTCCAAGGTGAAATCATCAAATATATGATGCTATAGCTCTTAATAGGCCATGCCATTGCTTACAAACAAAGGTCTTGGTTGATATGTGTTTTTTAAAAGGTGTAGCAAATAGGGCTTGCTCTCTCAATTCCTGCTTGCAATTCAGAGAGTCCAGACTTTCCCACAAATTGCATTGAAGTCTATGGGGAAGAAGAAGGATCTTCTTAGTCAAATCTGCCATTTTCAGGGCTAACAGGCAAGCTATTTGTAAAAAAAAAGGACAGGAAGCTGAGCATTGCCATGGGGAACATATAGCAGTCCAAAAAAAAAAAATACTGTACTACCCCCTATGAAGATAGGGGGTTCTTTTAAGGGTGACATGGAATAAATACAAATGATAAATTTGTGGATGCTTGAAAGCTTTACATTGTGTTACAGAATAGTACAATTTTCATTGACAGTCTCAGCAACAGTGTACTTTGGCAGTAGATGTCTGAATATGTTTTCTTTAATAATTAGCTTAACTTAAATACAGCAGCAACACCCCAATCCGGTTAGAAAAAACCTTTTTAACCACTTCCCGTCTGGCCGCTATATATATAGGGCTGGACGGTGACAGTGCAGGGGCGGGTTGCCGTTCATCAACGGCGCCTGCCATTTTGGATTGCACGCGCTCCCTGGGAACACCGATCGCTGTACGGGACTTCTGTGTGTGGTCCCGATCATGTGATCACTGATGAATAGGTGTAAGCAAGATGTCACTTCTGACATCATTGCTTACTACATGTGAAATCTGTGAATGATCACAGATGTCACATGGTACAAGGCTATTCACAACAGTCTTGTGACCAATCACAGCTCTCACAGTATTTCTCAATGGCTGCAAGAATGCAGCCAGAGAGAAGGAGAAATGATTGCTTTTTACAGCCTTTATGGGCCTCTATAAAATAAAAATGTAAAAAAAAAAAATTAGAAAAAATTATAATTTTTGGTTATAAACTAATTTGGGTTATTTTTTTACTAAAAAAGATAACTGAATAAATGTTGGCCAAGATGTATGAAGAAAGATTATTTATTTTCAAAATTGTATAAGAAAAACTCTTTTTTTTCAAAACTTTTGGACTTTTCTATTTATATAGCAAAAAACTAAACATCCCAGTGGTGAATAAATACCATCAAAATAAAGTTTTATCTGTCTCAAAAAAATGCTAAAAAAAATTCATATGAGTACAGCGTTGCATGACTGCGCAATTGTCATTCAAAGTGCGACAGCACTGAAAGCTGGAAATTGGCCTGGACAGTAAGGGGGTAAAAGTGTCTGGACATGAAGTGGTTTTTAAGCAAAAACACATGCTTTTTCATCTAGCAGTAATAGGTTGCTTTGACTGGTGGGAAGAAATTGGCCAGTGGCTTTTTGAGACTGTTCCATTGCAAATGTGATCTACTACTGGCCAAGTGTTACACAGCTGAGCTATATTGCTTTAATGTTGTGCTCTTAATTCTTGTAGGAAGATACCTAACTGTGACTTGTGTCTCTACATTTTGTCCTACTCTTGCTGATTACAAATGTCTTACTACTGGCCAGTTTTACAAAGCTCTAACATCTACTGACCCTCTAGAGATACAAGGCACAGGTATGTGTTTTCCTACAAGAAGTAAGAGTGACAGCACTCAGGTGTTATTGCACCCCACCTTATGTAATCTATAGAAGTAAAACCATTTTTGTAAGTGTCCCTTATCTCTCTCTATGTAGTTTGTCAGCTTTCCCGATATGTCCTATAAGCTTCAATACACTGACAATACAGCTGCTCTGAGCCTCCATCTTATGCCTCAAGTACACAACATTATTAAGGAGATTGTTAGGGGCCTCTGGGGTTTTTTCTACCTCTAAACACCCCTGCATGGTAACCTATGTGGCCATGCACACATAGGCGTTTAGAGGAATTTAGAGGCAGAAAAAAAATCCACAGCCAGCGCGTCCAGGAGCAGTGGAGTCTGGACAGAACAAATGCTTGGCGTGCCTTAACGTGTGTAAACGCATCAAAATGCACATTAACCTCCCTAGGGGTCTGATTATGTCCATATTTCTGTGCTGAAAGAGGTATATTTTTTTGCATGGAAATATGTCTTTTTTTATTGTAGGCCTTTTTGGACATCATGGACTTTAATAAGTTTCCAGGCAGAAAGAACAGTCAAAATGCAGGCAGGGGACAGGACAAAGCAGTAGGGACAAAATGTATGTGAAATGCTTTGAAACAGTAATGTTTTACTATGTGATTTTAGTGTATTAGTGAATGGCAGTTTTTTAAAATTTTCAAATTTCCAGCCGGTTCCAACCCCGTATGTCCCATACGTCCCGAAGCTCACAGGGACCGGAACACGGAAGCCGGATGCCGGCATCGGCCGGAGGAGATGGCCGGGCACGCTGCAGAGGACACATCGCGGGAGCGAAGGACAAGGTAAGTGCTGCAGGGAATCCCTGAGCAACACTGCATAGTATTCCCTACTGTAGCTCGGGGTTGCCGCTTTTGGTACTGACTCTTTACCCCAAGCTACACTCAAGAATACCGCCAGGAGGTTAATACTAGCATGTTTGTCACTTCAGCGTTAATTCATTTCATTGGCCACAATAAATGTTTATTTTGGCCAGTGAAATTAATTAACGCCTAAACGCTTGATGTGCCTAAATGTGCTACACAAGTTTACAAATGTCAGGCGTTTTTTCTGCCAACAGGCTACTGACAGGAGGAAGGGCGTCTAGGACAGTTTGCAAAACATCCAATGTGCATGAGGCCTTATAGTGATGTATCCTAAATCTCCCATAATAGGCAATTCTGAGCATGATGACTATGCTTCCAATGCCATTTAAAACATTGTGGGGGAGAGTCACTAAACCTGGTGCACTCAGAATCTAGTGCAGCTGTGCATGGTAGCCAGTCAGCTTCTAACTTCGGCTTGTTCAATCAAGCTTTGACAATAAAACCTGGAAGCTGATTGGTGACTACGCAGAGCAGCACCAGATTTTGCACCATGCAATTTTAGTAAATAACACCCTATGGGTAATAAAAATTTGCTGGGACTGTGAATTTCAAACCAACAGGATTTGTCATGATCCAATATCATTTCATATTCAAACATCATCCGTATTAGTGAAATATGACATCCACTGCTTGGATTTAAATTTGGCTGTGTGTGCGCGCTTGTGTCCATGTGTGTACATTTGTTTATGGTAGGTAAAATCACAGAATAAACAGGAATTACTGGAACCTGTTAGCCTAAATTATGCAAACATTTGATTGATGTAGAAGTACAAATGTGACACATGCTATACTCTCTGAACTCTGTAAAGTATATACAGGAATCATTTATATTTTATCTTCTTAAAAAGTCTGGAGCATTGAAGCAAGAATAGAATGTATTTTGTCTAATCTCCAACCATATTTAAGGCTTAATAATCAGTGTTTGGAGATCTGACAAACAACATTTGAAATGATTGGTTTTCTGAATGGTTGGGAGTAGGATGACCTGAAAATCTCTCCTTAATCTTTTGTCAGCTTACAGCAACAAATGACAGTTATCATTATGCAATATGCCTAGACAGCTCTCAGCTAGAATCCCAGTCAGCAGATAGAACTTTTCAGTATTAAATATTATGTTAAGCAGGAGACATGTTTAACGGTTTGTTAAATACTAGGTAACATTGCATTGTTGTTCTATCGACTCTGCTCAAATGCATTGTTGTATCATGTGCATTTATAAATGTAAAATTTACAGTACTGATTTTTTAATATGTATGGGCACACCATTTAAACTCCTTAGCGGTCTGATTATGTCCATATTTCTGTGCTCAAAGCGGTACATTTTTTTTCATGGAAATATGTATTTTTTTTATTGTAGCCTTGTCATTTTTAGGAATAACTCACTGAAATCTGTCCGAACAAGAGTCTAGTAAACATCCCGGGTATGTTAAAGTTTGAAACACGAAATCATAAATTATAATTTAATAAATAATCATAAAAAATAATAATATAATATAATAATACATTTAATTCAATAATATAATCAAACTAAAAACACTGAAATTTCGCACATCACTGAGCAAAGTCGTAAAATCATTTTCAGTGTCTGATGACAAATTTCCCCACGAATCAGTATCACTCAATTCTGCAAGTGGTTCTGATTTACTATTGCTGTTCCCTAGCTGGTCTAAAAACCGCTTTTGACCTAAAGGGACGCTTTTTGGACGCCATGGGCATTTCTCAGTTTCCAGGCAATAAGAACAGTAAAAATGCAGGCAGGGCACAGGACAAAGCACTAGGGACAAAATGTATGTGAAATGGTTTGATACAGTAATGTTTTACTTTGTTATTTTAGTGATTTTAGTGAATGTCACTTTTTGTCATTTTCAAATTTCCTGCCGTTCCATCTCCGTACGTCCTGACGTCGCAGGGGACGGAACCCAGAAGACAGATGCCGACATCCGCCGGAGGACATTACAGGGGACACTGCAGGATGGACATCGCAGGAGCGCAGGACAAGGTAAGAGAAGAACAGATCCCAGAGCAACGCCGCATGGTAAGCCCGAGTGTAGCTCGGGGTTACCGCTTGTGGTACTGAAACTTTACCCCGAGCTACACTCGGGAATACCGCCAGGGAGGCTAGCAACATCAGCTTATATGACCTTCAACAGTGGGTTAATGCTTGAAGAGAGGGCATTGTATCTTATATTGAATGGGCTATTTAACAATGACAACTGGTTTAATCTCCCAGAATTCCATGGTCCACTTGCTACACTGAATTTTTATTACAGGCCATCATTAAAGTGTTACTAAACCCAGGACCCTGCATTCACTATAGCTTGTCTCCCACAGTACATGGAACATGGAAATGCAATTATTTTAGTAAATGTAAACTGCTAAATACCTTTTCTCATCAGCAGTTAGAGCGGTCTTGTGACTTCTATCAGTGTTCAGCAAAGCACTGGTTAAAGCTTGTAGGAGGAGTTTTTTCTAGGAGGATATAGAACGACTGACCTCTGTCTGGGCAGTGCTGATTGGCCTGTTCTGATCACATGCACTTCCACAGGAAAAAAAAAAACTCTCAAGCAATACACAATAAACTGAGCATGTGCAGTGTCTCCACACTATATGTCTTATCAGGAGATAAGAGGTAGACACTGGAAAAAGGGAAGATCTGATACGACAGGATCAAACACCTTTTTACACAATGCAGAAGATTAACCCCTTAGGTTTTACAGTGAGTATAACAAGCATGCTTTACTGCATATACAGACTGATTTTACTGTTGTGGGTTTAGTAACACTTTAATGATGAAAGGATTGGTCTGAAATCAGGTGAAAAAGCAACTCTGCACCAGTGGAGTGTCTGGGGGTGATCTTACCCAGGTATAGGAAGGCAGGGGTGCGCTAGGACTGCAGCCTTTCACATTACAGATATGTAGGGTTCATGTGAAGCTGTAGGGGAGGAGGATGAAGGGGTCATTATTTGCTAAGGGAGGATTTTTGCTTGTGGGAAGAGGAATTTTTGGCTGTATATCATCATAATTGCCAATTCTTTGCCCACATATACTCACAACTGCCCTATTGCTGCCCTCATGTATTTACTGTTTATCACCTGTATATTGTCACAATTGGCTGTTTGCTACCTATAATGATTAACGTTTGCTCTCTACATATTGTAACAACTGCTTGTTCAGATGATTGGCCAATCAGTGATCACATGAATAATAGTAAACAAGATGTCACTTCCTGACATTACTTACTACTTGTAAAATCTGTGAATGATCACAGAGGTCACATGGTACAAGCCTATTCACAACAGCCTTGTACCATGTGACAAGCTGTGACCAAATCACAGCTCTCACAGTATTTCTCAATGGCTGCAAGAATGCAGTCAGAGAGAAGGAGAAATGATTGCTTTTACAGCCTTTAGTCTATGTTCACACTAGCGTTGTGTGCAGGCGGCAGAGAGGCGTTTGGGAAGTGTTTTTACCGCTTCCCAAACGCCTCTGCCAATTCTGCACATTACAGCACATGGTGCTGTTCTAACGGGAGCGTTTGCGTCGCGGCAAAACGGACTCCTCTGGTCAAGTCAGGAGGCGTTGAAGCCTCCTATTCTAGTCTATGGTGCCACTCCGCAAACGCCCGGCCGGCATTTGTGGTGTGGTTGCGACGCGGTTGCGGGGCATTTGCGGAGCGGTAACACCATTCAAACTGCATTATAGGCATTTGTGGGGCATTTTTAACACTCGGCAAACGCCTAGCAACCGCCGCTAAACTGCGCATGCGGCGTTTGTGGAGCGTTAAAAAACGCTCTGCAAACGCCGGAACAACGCTTGCCAAATGCTATAGGGGCATTTGGCAAGCGATGGTAAAACAGCCAAGTGTGAACGAGCCCTTATGGTGACACTGTACTGCTAGGGTGAAGGTATGTTAAAAAAAAAATAATAATATAATAAAATAAAAATGTAAAACAATTTTTGAAAAATTATAATTTTTGGTTATAAACTAACTTGGGTTTTTTTTAACTAAAAAGATAGATAAATACATTTTGGCCAAGATTTATGAAGAAACATTATTTATTTATTTGCAAACTTTTATAAGAAAAACAGCTTTTTTTCAAAATGTTTGGACTTTTTCATTTATATAGCAAAAAAATAAAAATCCCAGTGGTGAATAAATACCACCAAAATAAAGTTTTATCTGTCTCAAAAAAATGCTAAAATATTCATATGGTTACAGTGTTGCATGACCGCGCAATTGTCATTCAAAGTGTGATAGCACTGGAAGCTGAAAATTGGCCTGGACAGGAAGGGGGTGAAAGTGTCCGGACTGGACGTGGTTAAAAAAAATAAATAAATAAAATAAAAATACCTAGATCAAGGTCAATGCAAGGGTTAGTGTTTGGGTCAAGGTCAGGGTCAAAGGTCAGAGTCAATGATCAGGATCAGGATTTTTTTTGGTCAGGATTTTTTTTTTTTAATTTTTAAATTAGCATCAGTGTCAGTTAGTGGCAGGATAAAAAAAAGCAAAATGCGCACTATTGTTTCTGGGCCGTACTATGGATACAAACAACAACTAGCATACTCATATGTGAAATTGCTGCAATTGTCAGGAGCAGGAGAAATGTTGGGTTGTTATTTGGTGGTTGGTTATGGTAGTAGCAAGAAACGTATAACAAAATTTAAAAAAAGTGTTTTTTTATTTTACTATTTTGGGTCAGTTTTCCTTTGATAATAAAAAATCAGGAGATATCCGTTACCATTTACTACCAAATGAAAGCCCAATTTGTCCTGATAAGAACAATGTATAATCCACCTGGATGCACAAAGTAGTTGTGATGATATGTACGGTTTGGCTAACACATGACAAAGTTGCAAAATTGTGCTTAGGCTTTAAGATTTGTTTTACCCTTAGGCGTG